AAAAAAAAATCAATATGAAGTCGATACATTTCTAAGGGGAACTATTTCTTAACACATATTCTAATTATAATTTCTATACTTTGTTAGGGGAGTGATGATTATTCTATGATGGCTTTGTCATAGTAATTAACTTGCTTACTTAGTCAAAGTGAATTAACTCTATAAAAATAGTTTGGAGTCCCTGAAATAAATATATTTCAATTATTTTAATACTTGAAAGAGTAGACCATACCAAAAATCACTTTTTAAAATTACAATGATGCCATATGGCAAAGTACCGAATCCATTATGGGAAATCAAGAACTAGTCATTGTTGACAGGCTATAGGGAAGTGCCAGTGTTGAAAAGGTCCTTCCTTATGTACTCAATCATTCTGCTTGGCTCTGAGTGAGAAGTCAGACCAGACAACTTCAAATACCCTTCATTGACCATGGTATTCTATGAATGTGTGCTGTCTTCTCAGAGTTCTACAGTAGACTCTCCTTCATGAGAAGTGCAACATCCCCCTTCTCTGTTGGTATAACTGACTCCACTATATTCTCTATGCATCTGAGTGGTTCAAATCAGTGGGGGCAAAAGCTGGACCTAATAGCAATTTTATTCTGAGCCAAACACAAGCTCTACTTCATGACAGTTACCCAGAGATGTAACCCCTAAGAAGAAAGCAGTCGTCTTCGATAGGACTGATCTCGCAAATCCAAGCACCCCAATCATTCAAGATTCATCTTTTGTGTGTGGTTAATTCTATATTATTCTTATTTTTCTTTTAAAAATCATTTTATTGGGGGCTTGTACAACTCTTATCGCAATCCATACACGCATCCATTGTGTCAAGCACATTTGTACATTTGTTGCCATTATCATTTTCAAAACATTTGCTTCCTGCTTGAGCTCTTGGTATCAGCTCCTCATTTTTCCCCCTCCCTCCCCCCTCCCCTCTCCCTCATGAACCCTTGATAATTTATAAATGAATATTATTTTGTCATGTCTTACACTGCCCAATGTCTCCCTTCACCCACTTTTCTGTTGTCCGTCCCCCAGGGAGGGGGTTATATGTAGATCCTTGTGATTGGTTCCCCCTTTCTCCCCGACTTTCCCTCCACCCTCCCAGTTTCGCTACTCTCCTTATTGGTCCTGAGGGTCAAGATTCATCTTAACCACTACATTGAAATGGACAGTGGAACTAAAGTCATCAACTTAGAAGATCTGAAAAAGCTTTGTGATGAAAATTGATGATCTGAATTAGCATTTAAACTTAAAAAAAATCCCGTGGAACCATTGCTAAGTTTTTGGATAAATGTCTAGGAAAAGAGGATCACTGTAGAAAGGATACTGGGCTGGACTGAAGAGCCCTGGCAGCGTAGCGGGTCACAGGAGGGGGTGCTACCGCAGTGTCAGCAGGTGGAAACCACTAACCTCTTCCAGGGAGAAAGACGAGGCTTTCCGCTCCCGTAAAGAGGGACATCTCAGAAACCCACGGGGCCAGTTCTTCCCCTGCTGTGACTCAGAATCGCCCTGATGGCAATCAGTGTGGTTTTGGAGTTCTGGAGATTGGATGGAGGAATGGGCTCATCTCATACCTTCTGCACTCTGGCTAAGATTATTGAAACCACTGTTAAACTCGTATTCTTCTACAGGTATGACTGTCGAACAATTTGTTCCTGAAGGACCCTACCTGACCTTATATGACTATAAAGAAGGCCATTGGAAGCAGCTCACAAGCTGGCATCATGGCACCATGTATTTTTTCTTCGGACTGGCTGGTGTGACAAGGATCTTATGTCACATTTATCGTTCACTTCCTGGATCATTACCCAAGCTAATGCTGTCAAATGCCTTTTTTGTGGAGGGTAAGTATGAGAGAGGGAATGGGAAGGAATGGGAGGGGGAGAGGAATGGGAAAAAGAGACGGGGAGGAGTGGGAGAATGAGAGAGAGAGCGGGAGGATGAGTTAAGTGGAGCGCCACACAAAGAGAAAGAATGGGTTATTATAAGAGCTGTAAGACCCCCCAATAAAATGATCTTTAAAAAGAGAGAGACAGAGAAAGAGTGGATGGTCCTTAGTTTCATTGAAAAAGTCAAGTTTTTCTACCACTCCCTTCTTTCAGCGTTTATCTTCTACAACCACACTCATGGCCGAGACGTGCTAGACATCTATGTGCACCAGCTGCTGTCGCTGGTCATCCTTGTGACAGCCGTACTGACTTTCATTGATTTCATGAGGAGCAACATGATTTTGGCACTTTTGGAGGCAAGCTTCCTCTTGCTTCAGGGGAGTTGGTTCTGGCAGGTGAGTTGGGACCTCTACTCAAGACAGGGTCTTTTTTCCTTTTGTGGTGCAGCTTGTTCTAGAACCCTGAGAGTGCCTGCCTGTCGTGAGAATATGGCCCCAGAGATGTTATGTTTCCCTAGATCCATACAGGGCCTGCCACCCCTGCTGAGAGTGCTGACTGAGCAGGCAGAAAGGAAGTGGTGTGCGCATATCTTCACTACACACCCAAGCCTCTGTTTTGCAGGAATTGTTAGCTGGTGCTTTTAGTTGGAAGCAGTTCCTGATTCTGAAGCAACTTACAGTCTTATGGTATTAAGCTTAAGAAATCCATCAAAGGTGGGAAATAGATGGAGGTATTATTTATTGATAAACAGCTGAGTACCACACATGTGCATTGTTTCACTTTGCCCCACAACAATCTGCATATGAGGTATCATCATCAGATAAGGAATATTTATTGAGACCCAGTCAATTTGCTAGGATCACAACTTTGGAACTAGGATTCCAATGTGGATCTGTCTGGTCTCAAATTGCAAGTTCTTCTCTTAAGGAAAGAATGGGCTCCCTAACGTTGGTATGTTGTTGGGAATATGAATTCCACTCTGCGGACACATTCTATAGAGATGGATAAATCATGTTCCCAAGTGTATACATGAACGAACACACACACACACACACACACACACACACACACACACACACACACACACGGAACATCTGAGATGGCAGCTGAATGAGGTCTAGTTAGGGAACACATCTTAGAAAAGGATTTTGGTCCCCAGAGAGACGGGTTGAGAGGATGGGGTTACTTCAGGGATTTTCATTTAGCACGAGGAGTGTTCCGGAACCACTGGACAATGGTATTGGGTGCTGGTGAGTTGGTTCTGACCCGTATCATAATAGAACGAAACAGGCCCAGTCTGGAACGATCCTCACAACTGTTAAGATCGAGCCCGTTGGTGCTGCGACAATGTGCATCCATCTCCCACTGAGGATTTTTGCTTTTGTGCTGACCCTCTACGTCACCAAGCATGGTGTCCATTTCGGGGACTGACCCCTCCTGATAACACATTGCCTTAATACTGACCCTTTTTCCAGAGACTTGATGTTTGGTTCCCCTCCCCCAACTTTAATTTTTAAAATCCTCCCCACCCCCCCAGAACTTTTCTAAGGAAGAACTATGAAGTGAAAAACGTACATAAATCTTTTTAAGTAAAATAAGTTTAAAATGTTTTCCATCTACCAACATATCTAGAAGAGTTTCAAATTTTTACCTGGTGGTCAGACTAAATAATATCTACAGCCTTACAAGCAGAGTAACATTTAACACCACTGGCGGGAAGTGAAGTTTTAGACGTATTTCTCCTCTTCAGAGACAAAAATGCCTGGAGACATCGGCGAGTTTCTAATGCCTCCATGTGTGCTCCAGGTACAGGGGCTTCAAAAAGTCAATCGGAAACTCCATTAGTTCCATTCCCCCACAAACATTTAGAAGTCCCCTTAAGTGTGTGATGTAAGTATGTTTTATGCCCGAGTCTCTGTCTTCAGCTAATAACACATTGTGTTTATTTTTTGCTGTATATTTTCACTTGCTATGTCTGCATATATGGCTAATCTCAGTGTGCATTTAAGGAGTTGTGGCAGTTTCTTGTCCTAATCTGGGGTCTTAATTTTCCAGATTTACTTCCTTTTATTCTGATACTATCATGGAGACATTCTATGGATTTCCATGAAATTGCATAAAGTAACCCTGTTCATAGGTCTCGTACTGACCTCAGTCACATCGTCAGTTTTCAGTCTCAGGCTTTATTGGTCCTGGTGAGATTAGCAATCAGAGGTGCTCAAAGTTTCTCTTTTTCAGGTAAAATTGATGACAACTAGGGGAAATGATGTAAGAGATTCCATTTGGAGCTTCCAAAGAGAAATTGCAGGGAATGTGGCGGGCAGTGATGAGTCTATGGATCTAGATCCGGAGGTCATAGATTTGAGTTCTAGGTCTCCCATATGAGCTATGTGAACATAGACGGGATAGTCTGCACCTTTAGGGTTCCTCAAGGAGTTCCCGTTAACTGAAACTTTGGTTTGAACCTCCTGAAGGCACCCCCCACCCATCAAAAAAAAAAAAAAGCAGGCCATATGCTTCTGAAAGGCCATGACTTTGGAAAGAACCCGATACTGCAGCACTAAGGTTGACATGAGTTGGAAATGACTTGACAGCAACTGATTTCTTCAACTATCAAATGGAGATACTATCTCATGGGATTATTTTGAGATTGAACTCTTGAAGAGGGTGTCCTTCATTCCAGAGGAAGCGGAGGAAATCTCCCAGGAGAATGCGGAATTAAAATAGGACTTGGAAGCTGAATGAGGTTTACCAATCTATTTGAGCGTTCAGTCTGGGATGGGATGCTGCTTTGCTTGTTTTGGTCTTGACTGGGAAGCTTTTCCTCTGGGAGCTGGAACAAGTCATGCCCAAAGCAGTGGTGAGCAGGTTGTGTGGATGGCATTGAAGGAGCATTGCCAAGGCTGGTAAAAGGGAATTTAGAGCTAGTCACTACTTCCTTCTACTAATTTTCCACTTCAAAGGTCCCTCTTTGGCACAGAGTTTCTGTTTACTTCCAAGAGCTGCTATGAGGAGGGGGGCCTGAGAAGCACAGTCTCAGGGACTTGACACCCAAGTGTTAACGGCTGTCCTCCTTGAACAGGAAGTGACTAGGGGCTTGAGTTTCCTTCATGTAGTTTCCCAACAGCAGACATAGAAGACTTAGAAGTTCTTGTTTTCTTCCAGGGACTTTGGGGACCTGGTCTTTGGGCACTTGGGTGCCCACCAGAGAGCTTTCCCAGCTCACTGGAATGGCAGCTTAGTAAACATAGGGATATCTAAATAGATATGGAATTAGGTTTTACTCAGTATTATAAACTATGCTTTTACTACAAGATTTCATTTATTATGAGTGTGATCATGGACATGTCATTAAACATCCCAATGTTCTCCTTTGGGTAATTAGAATAACAATATATGAATGACACCAATAGGGCGTTTTTATAATGTGGTTACAAAGCAGGTATAAAATCTGCAGACTGTTGTAAGGAAACTCCGAAGCCCTGTAACTAACATTTCACTAGCCATTAAACGAGGAGCACACTTACTATAGATCAGGGTTACCTCAATGTAAAGCTCAGTGTTGTATTCCATTTGGTTCACTTCTTTATATTGTTGTTTTTAGGTGTGGTCCAGTCAACACTAATTCCTGGTGAACCTGTGTACAATAGATTAAACACTACTCAGTCCTGTACAGTCCAGGCAACCATTGCTATGTTTGATCCAATTGGCGTAGCCACCGTATCAGTCCACCTCATTGAGAGTCCTTTCCACTGACGCCCTACACTACCAAGCATGACGTCCTCCCCACGCCCCCCATGACATGTCCAAAGTGCATGAGGGCAAGTCATGTCATCCTGGCTTCTCTGGTGGTACTTCCTCCAAGACAGATTTGTTTGTTCTTCTGGCCATCCATGGTGTGCAACAGAGTTCATGGAAACATTCCTTTATCTCTAACTATCTATCTATCTATTGCCATTATCTTTTAATTCCATTTCCATATAAACTTTAAAGCCCCCTTGTAGTTAATATTCTTCACCAACACTGAAATTCAAAGGCACCAATTTGTTGGGCTTCCTTATACTTTGTCCAGCTTTTCCATGCATATGAGGTGATTAAAAACACCTTGTTTGGATCAGGCACACCTTAGTCCTCAAAGTAACATCTTGGAGATCTAACGCCATGCAGAGTTTGCTGTTCTCACTGCTGCTTCCATGAGTGTTCATTATGAATCCAAATATTGTTATTTATAGTTAGGAAGTAAAATTCACAAAACATAGAATTACCGGTAACCACCTTGTAGTATTCCATTAAGTGTAACTCAGTACAGTAACAATCTTTTGCAACCATCTCTTCTATATTTTCAAAAAATTTTTCTTACCCTCAAAGGAAACCTCATACCCATTAAGTAGTCCCTTGTGGTAGTCTGGGTACAACAGAGAAACAAATCCACAGAAATTCATATGTACAGGAGAGAGTTTCATAGAAAGAGTAAGTGCACATCAAGAAAACATCCCAACCGAGTGCTGCCCAAACCCACAAGTCCAACATTAACCCATATGTCCAACGCCAATCCACAAAGTCTTCCTCAATCTCACAAAACACACAAGTTGATGCCGACTGCAGGAGGAAAGCTGAATCAGTGAATGTGTAAGCATCTCAGTGCTGACAGGGGTCTCCATGCGGCTGCTCCAGCACCCAGGGCTGCATCAGGATAGGTCCATGCGGCTTCTCCTCAGGGATGTCTTGCAGAAAGTGAGCCTTGCAAGCTGAAGCAGGGAACTGGCTAAGGCAGCTGCACCCTGGTCCGACCATCACAAAACAAGAGACCCAAGAACTAAAAAGGCAAGGCCCACTGAGCCATTTATCTCTCCACCCTTCAATTAACCCCACCTGCGTTTCTCAGCCAGGTTGGCACACTAAACTAAATCATCTCTTTTCTTTTATTCTCTTCAGTCCCTGGCAGACAGGGGCTTTCTGTCCCTATGCACTCACCTATTCTGAATGTTTCATACAATATGCGTGTTTCTGAGTCTGACTTCTTTCACATTGCATGTTTTTGAGTTCTATTTTTTTATAAAGATACATATTTTGATTATTCATCAATGTTAATTGACATTTGGGTTGTTTTGATTTTCATCGTTTGACTATGTCAGCCGTGTTTTAATGAACATCCGTGCCCTGGTTTCTTTTTAGGAGTGGTGGTGGTTTTCCCAGAGAGAAATTTTATTAATCTCTCAGCAGAGAGAAAGGAACTATCCTGTCCTTCCTCATGACTGGTTTTCTAGTGCTTCTCTCTGTCTACCCATGGGAAAACGGGTTTTTAAATATTCACAGCAAAGAGACTGTTGGGAAAGATCCCTCGGGGTAGCAAGTTTCTGGGAAGTGTAGTCCAAGGCATTGCAGAGATTCTGTGCATGCTCAGTCTAAATTTCCACCTTTCCTCCCATGGCCTACTGCATTCCCCCTGAGAGATTTCATACATATAATTCTTCATGGAATCAAGGACGAAGGTCTCTCCCCTTCTGGAGCTACTTCCTGTGTGTATGTGGCGTGGCATATCATCACCCTGCCTCTATGAGGAGAAATCTCTCAATCTGTTGCATATTAAAGGAGAGCAGGTTCTTTCAGGTAAAGATACTGGGCTTAAAGCTGTGAGTCATTTAAAGGCACGGACAGAGTCTTGGTCCTTCAGTATCGACTGGACCTGCTCTTTCAGAAAATGCTACCAACAGTCACACACAGGGTTGTCCTATGGGAAATTCTTAATTATAACGAGACCAAAGAAAAGAGGTGAGAAAGGATTGGCACCCATTAATGCCACACCTGTATAAGAACAATACTAAAAAGCACAAATTATTCTGTTTCTCTGTTCTACTTCATTAAAAAAATTCTTCTTAAAAAATATCTATCATTTCATTGGGGGCTCATACACCTCTTATTACAATTAATACATTAAAAATTCTTAATGTAAGATTTACTATAAAAATAGTCAGGAAGGGGTTTGTTGGTCTAACAGGCTGAAATGTAAAGGATATAGAAACAAAATGCTTTCCTACATGTTATGGCTCTGAGAATATTTTTAGGCCGTACTTTCTAATTATTGTGTGCCTGCATGTGTATGTGTCTGTGTGTGTGTTCCATTCTTTGTGTAAGCTGGCTACCTGTCTTGTTTGGATTCCTGGTGGTATAGTGGTTATGTGTTGGTCTGAGATCCCCATGGTTGGCAGTTCAAAACCACCAGCAGTTCCGTAGGAGAAAGACTGGGATTTCTACTCCTTTAAACAATTGCAGTCTCAGAAACCCACAGGGGGTCACTATGAGTCCACATTGACTGGGTGGCAGCGAGAGAAGACAGTGATTCCTCGTGTTGTTCGGTGGTTAGAAATAAAAGTGTAGCTTGAGTTGATTCACGGCACAGGATGAAAGCAGGGTTTTGTGAGCCAGGTGTGGCTTCCTGCAGAGCAAGTTCCTGTTGGCTTTTGACGCTCACACATTCCTTTTGATCAGAGGTTGATGATGACCCTGGGCTTCAGCTGGACTTCAGATGGCAGCCCTAACAGGTGCTTTAAACTCATAGCATGGTACTCCACTGGACTCCATCGGGTCTGTCTTCACCAGACAGGTTGCAGCATCGATCAAAGCTTAGGTTCATCACCTTGGCCAAGTTCTTCCTTTTCTTCACATGAGGCAGCAGTGAAAGATAAGATTACGTGTGAAATGTAGATAGAATTATTGGTATCCCTTGGAACATGCCCGAGCTTTTGCTTGAATACTGGTTTTCAATTTGTAGGAACATTTGTGGGTTCTATAGTAATTCTGTGTTCTTTTCTTTGAGGAACCGACCAACCACGTTCCACAGTTGCTGCACTGTTTTGTATTCCCACCAGCAACGTTCTTCATTACCATTTCTCCACATCCTCACTGATACTTGTTATTTTGTTTTTCTGATTACAGTCCTCCGAGTGGGTAGAACATGGTATCTCATTGTGGTTTTCCCTTTTCTTTTTCTAACGACGAGTGATGTTGAGCATGTTTTCATGTGACTACTATCCAGTAGTCCTTTGCCCATTTTAAAATTGGTGTGTTTGTCTTGTGCATTGTTTGAGTTTTTTATGTAGTTGGGTATTAGATTCTTATCAGCTATATGATTTACCAATATTTCTCTGATTAAGTTGTCTTTTCACTTCTGGTAGTATCCACTGGTACACAAACTATTTTAAATTTTTATGAAGCTCAAATTATCTAGTTTTTGATTTTTTGTTTTTTGTTCATGCTGTGTTTTTGACATCATATCTAAGAATTCACTGACAAAGCCAAAGCCATGAAGGTTTGCCATTATGCCTTTTTCAAAGATTTTCACAGTTTTATTTGTATATTTAAGTCTCTAGTTCATTGAGTTAATTTTTACATAGGATGTCAGGTATGGGTAAAACGTCATTATTTTACCCCTGACTATCCAATTGTACTAGCGCTACTTGCTGAAGATAACCTATGTCCTGGCATCCTTACTGAAACACAGGTGACCACAGATTCTGATCTATGGCTTCAATACATTATTCTATATGTTGTTGATTATTATGCTAGTACCACACTGTTTTAATTATTGTAGCTTTATAGTTTGACATTAGGAACTTTGAAAATGTTTTTTCAAGATTAATTTGGCCATAAGGGGTCCCTTGTAATTCCATATAAACCTTATATGGACCAAGTCTATAAAAGAGAGCACTGGGATTTTGATAGTGATTGAATTGAATAGTGTTTCCATCTTAACAATATTAAGTTTTACATTCTTTGAACACAGGACATCTTCCCTCTTATTTAAACTTTATTGATGTAGTTCAGTGTTTGTAATTATCAGTGTACAGCTCTTATGCTTTCTAGAGTTTTTCCTTAAGTATTTTAAGCTTTTTGATGCTATTATAAATGAAATTATTTATGTATTTTATCTTCAGATGTTTCATTGTTAGTGCATAGAAATTCAACTGATTTTTGTGTGTTGGCTTCATAACCTGGAACTTTGCTATACTTATTTATTAGCTCTTTTAGATATGCATTTTCTCTTTTCTAATTACTCTGGATAGATGCAATGTTGAATAGAAATGGTAAAAGCAGGTATCCATTTTAGTTTATGATCCAAAGGAGAAAGCTTCAGCATTTCACCCTTGAGTATAATGTTAAATGTGGGCATTTTTTTATTTTGAAAATTTTATGTTCTAATTTTGAGATTATAGAGAGTAGCTGTATTACTCAGAAACCAAGGGCATTGTCTGAAAGCCCACCCAGAAATGTTCTTTTAAATCATCCTTGCTTTAAAAAATATGATGTAGTATAAAGTACCCATATTGCTACAACAGTTGAATAACACCCAATGTTTTACTCATATTTTACCTGTGGCAGTTCAGACAATGGGGGTGTAACATGCCTTCAATCTTGTAACCCAATACTTCGAAGTGAATTGTCTTTGGAAATGCAGTGATTCTAATGTATGCTTTAAAAAATAAAATTGCAGATTGGTTTTGTGCTGTATCCCCTCAATGGTGGCCCTGCCTGGGAATCCACGGATCACAACAACATGATGTTCCTCACCATATGCTTTTGCTGGCATTATGCAGTCAGCCTGACTGTTATCGGACTGAACTTCGCCTTTGTCACCTGGTAAGTACTGAACTCAAAATTTATCGGGTTAAGGCTGGGGCTAGGGCTAGGGCTTAGGGCTTAGGGCTTAGGCCTTAGAGTTAGAGTTAGGAAAAAAATAGAGTTAAAATTAAAAATGCAAATGGGAACTTCATTTCTTAGTACACTAGAAAATAAGTTAGGGCAGCAGAAATGTTTTTGCTAATAAAAACTCCCACTCAAAGAATAAATGGTGATTGAAGGTTGAAATAGCTCAACAGAGCCTCTGCCAGGCTTCGGCCGTGGGCATCCCATCAGCGCAGTCTGTGCATCCACGTCTTTCCCTTTGCTGCTTTCCCTTCCCAAGTAGTCCTGTCTGCACTCTCAATGGATTCTCCACGTGCTCACGTGAACACAGCACTCACCTACAGAATTTGCAAAATGTAGAGCCATTTTTAAGTACTTGTAAGTCTTACTTATTAATTCTAGTACTCTTCCTGTGAAGAAGCATGGTAATGTAGTGGTTATGTTTGGGACTGCATACCAATGGTTGACAGTTCAAAACCACTAGCAGCTCCATGGGAGATTGATGGAACTTTCTACTCCCAAAAATATTTCCAGTCTCAGAAAACCACAGGGAGGTTCACTATGAGTCAGCATTGACTTGATGGCAGTGAGTGAGTTATGACTTCTGTTTGCCAATGCCTATTTAATTGGACGTTTATTTGACATCCTCTAAAAATAATATTCTATTGACACATGTTCTTACAGTGCTTCCTAAGAGTGTTAGAAGGAATTTAACAGTGTTAAGAACACACATTTCTAGCTTTGCTCCTTATCAGTTGTACTACATTGGGCAAATTACTTTACCACATTAAATCTCAGCTTCATATTGTATAAAACGGAGAAAATAATAGTGCCTAAATGAGATCAAATATTTATACTGCCTAGGAAATAGTAAGAGCTCAATAAATGTTGTTATCATTGCTGTTTTAGGTCATCTTCTTTATCCTGAACTCCTCTTTCTTCTTCCTATGTGTCAATTGAGTGAGCTATGAACTTTGCACATGAAGTGAGCTTATTCTTATTAGGGGAGCGGAACTACTAATACATGTACAATGACTGAAAAGAGTAAGGAAGTCTCCTGGCAATTGAAAATTCAGTTGCAGCTTGAGGGATGTACAGGAATAGGAAGAGGTGAACACAATTCATCTTTCTTTTAAAAATTTTTTTCACATCTTTTTTTAAATCATTTTATTAGGGGTTCATACAACTCTTATCACAATCCATACATACATCAATTGTGTAAAGCACATTTGTACATTCATTGCCCTCATCATTCTCAAAACATTTGCTCTCC